CGAGACTTCTTGAGAAAGACGACTTTTTACCAGCAAGTACGTCATTCAGCCGCTCTCGCTCACCCGACTTTGAAAGAAGTGAAGTGCTGCGTGATTCTTGGGCTGCGTTGAAACGTCAGCCTGATAACTTCGATGCATGGATCATACTTCTAACACAGGCTGATCAGTCCGTATGTAGAGGCTTTCTTTTACATCAATAGAGATGCATGAAAGTTTTTTTTACAAAATGTCGCCTTTGTGTAATAGCTTTTATCGTTCAGAACGACCTGAAGTTAGCCCGTGATATATACGATCGATTCTTGAAGAGATATCCATACTGTTATGGCTTCTGGAAGAAATATGCTGAAATGGAACGCCGCCATCAGAACTTTTCCGATGCTCTTAACGTAGGTTTTTGTCTACATGTTAGAATCCTAATCTCCTGTAACAAAATAGTTAATAGATGTGCACATGTCTTAGTTCTTCTACACTTATAGGTATGGGAACGTGGAATTCTTGCTATACCGTTATCTATTGACTTGTGGCTTGGATTCTTATCTTTCATGCGAGAATTGGCTCCACAATCAGACAGAGGCATAGAAAAGTTGAGGGAGTAGGTTCTTTTCATCATATTCCAAATTCTCTCCTTCCAGTATAACTCGCTTGAGCTTGCAGACTGTATGATAGGGCAGTTTCTACTGCTGGCTATGAATTTCATAGCGATCGCCTTTGGCAAGACTATATTGCTTGGGAGGAAGCTCAGGGGGAGTGGCGTCGTGTGTCTAATATCTATGACCGTTTAATACGTATTCCCACTGCTCTATACAAAACCCATATGGAAAGGTACCTTGAATTTGAATTCAAATCGCAACGTACATTTTGTGCAGTTTTTTTCATTATCGTACATTTTCTACTTTCTACATATCTACAGCAAATAGAGTTTTAACACGCACGATGTAGGCTTTTGCTAACGTAGCAATAAATATAGCAAGGTAAAAAGTCTGAAAACAATAGTTTGTTCTTGACATACTTTTCACACAGGATGACG